AGGTCCTGGAGCCTATGCCAGAGGGACAACCCAGGATGGGGCACCAACCCATCACAGGGCACACTCACACACCCAGGATGGGGCACCAACCCATCACAGGGCACACTCACACCATTCACTCACACATACAGGCAACTTGGCAACTCCAATGAACTTCAGCATGTTTTTGAACTGTGCATACCCAGTGGAAACCGCACGATGACATGGGGAGAATATGCATACTGCACACACTGGGGCCCTGGACGGAGGCTTGAACCCTGGTCTCACTTGTGTGAGGCGACAATGCTAACCACTGCACCGCCATACCACTGCACTGCCAAACCGCCCCACAACTCATTTCATGTCCTCTTTAGCGTACAACAGGAATAAATATGTTTCCTTACATCAGTGAAAACATATATGCAAAAACAAAATGTCCACTGCAATGGACATAAATGAATGGGTGGGGTCTCAGGAGGATACAATCCTAATCAGACAGCCATTTCATATCATATTAATCAGCCTCTGCTCCTTTAGCATCCTGACCAAACAGTCATATGATTCATATTGACAGTCTCTGCTCTCTTTCCTTAGATCTCTGGAGCGCTGATGGATGAGTTTGATCAAATAATCATTGTCTATGGCAACAAAACAGCGGGTGAACTGGCACAGGTCATGTGGCAGCTTCTGGACACTCTGCAGTGTTATGTATGAAATACTCCTCACATTCTCCATATACTTCTCATCATTTGGACCTTTTCCAGACTAACTTACCCTACACTGCTCCACAGAAAAAATGCTGTGGAAGGATGAACTATACTGATTGGGACCGAAACCTTTACATCTCCTCACTTCCAGAAAACAATATATATCCCTGGTCCTGTTTTAATGCAAGCAGCTGTCCAGTCCTCCACAGTGACAACACCACGCAGGGGTTTGGCCAAGGGTCAGCAGTCTACTACCAGGTTTGAGAGTGCACAGCTGGCAGAGAGATAGAGACACTTTACTCAAAGTGTTTTATTCAGGGGTGATTCTAGCGTTTAACTGGATGCCATAAAGAGGCTCTAGAACTGCCTATTATCCTGATCCATCTCTAACAATCCTGTCATGTTTTTGTTTGAAGCAGAGGTCTCTGCTGGCCATCCTGTTTCATCCCTTCTGGCTCCTAATCACCCTCACTGGTTCCCCGTTACACACAATTCCTAGTGTTTGACTTGTCCCTAATTAGTTAAGTACGGTAGCTGGTGTAGTGGCACCCTTTAGTTGAGTAGTGAATTGGTCAGCGTTACAGCGCTGTACATTTCGTATGTGCTGTATACTGTACTTCACTGTGTTCAGGTCAGCTCTTGTCCCTCTTTAGTTCTCCTTCCTGTCTCCTTTTTTGACTCCATATGGTCCTTTGGTTTGTACTTCTGTTTGTATGTTTGCTCCAAAAATAAAGACCCCTTTACTTTAGCATAAGCTGAACATGGATCATCACTCCTACCACGCATTCAGTCATGACACCTTATTCTTATGCCTCTCTCTGACAGGGCTGTCAACAGAGTATAGAGGACTGGCTGTTGGCAAATGGACTTGCTATTTTGGAGTTGCAGTTAGGACTGATCTTAATTCAGGTAAGCAAAGCAGCAGGTTGAATAAGTATCATATTTACTCGTTTTTCCTCATTTCCCATAATTATGAAGCCAATTCAGATGATGGTGTGTCTTCTGCAGGCCCTGCAGCTGGCCCTTGGCTTATGCTTCTGTCACGTCACTCAGAGGACAGGACAAGAAGTGCAGCCTGAACTAAACATTCCCTGCGCAGACAAGGCAGTCTATCTTAGCGTAGCGTGTTGAGACCTTCCTGTGTAAAGCAGACAGTCGATGCAGTAATAGCTGAAGGCCTTGAGTAGAAGGTTCCTTGATTGAGTCCCAGCTCATTGTGAACATCCATCCATCCATTTTCTGAAACCACTTGTCCCATTCAGAGTTGCGGGGGGTCTGGAGCCTATGAACAACCCAGGATGGGGTGCCAACCCATCCCAGTCATTGGGAAAATCTTAATTAGAACCTAATATTCTTTTTGCTTAACATGAATTTACACACCATAGCTTCTTGCTTCCAGCGTTGGGGTGCAAATCCAACCCCAACCTGTCCATCTGTGTGTGTGTCTGTGTGGTCCAGGTATACCTTATATTGTGGGTAATAAATGTCCCCACAATGTGACAAAAACCTGTAACTTTGGGGACCATTTTTACAGTCCCCTTAAGGATAACCTCAATCTTATAAAAATATTGTGACTGCAATCAAAACAATAAAAATGAAAATAAATATGTATTTTGTTTGGTTACTTATGGTTAAGGTTAGGACTGAGTAGGGGTTAAGGTTGTCTTTTATGGATTTTGTTTTTTCTCATAGAAATGAATGGACAGTCCCCACAAATATATGAGTACAGGTCTGTTAGTGTGTGTCTGAGTGTATGTATGTGTGTGAGATCCTATGTGTGAGAGAGCATGTGTGTGTGTGTGTGTGTGTGTCTGAGTGTCAGTGTATGTATGTGTGTGAGAGAGTTGTGTGTGTATGTAAGAGATGTGTATACATATGTGTATGTATGTGTGTGTGCGTGTCCTGCTTCCTGAGTCACTCCACACTTTGCCATGAACATTTTCCAACAGTTCAATGCACCATCAGCAATTCTTGGCCATTATTTCCAGCTGTGAACTGTCCCCACCTGTCTTCCTGGGTTTCGTCCCAGATCCAGACAGCGTTGCTCTTGCTGTACTGCTCTGTGCTCTCATTTTCCGCCTTTGTACTGGTCACAAAATCCATCCATTCATCCATCCATCTTTAATAAGCAGTCTAGCATGAGATCTGTATGAGATGCTGAGCCACTGCAGGGTACACCTGTTTGGATGGAGGGAATCGGAGTAGCGTGCGGAATCCCAGGTAAACAGCTAGAGGTCATGAAGCCTCCACACCTACACGACACAGCTTCCTGCACCGAGTCACCGTATCTCCACGATCTGAAATCAAAAATAAAGACAACAGTGTGATCTACAGAATAGGCCGTCAAGTCTAAATAACGATCAGAGCTGGATAAGCGTAATGGAAATGGATGCATGAAGGATGGATGGATGTAAGGATGAGCTGAACCAAGACTAAGAAACATCATAATATAGTGTAGCGCCGGGGGGACCGAGCTATCGCGGGAGCAGAGAAGGAGCAGAGACTTGCATGCCAGGGAAAACGCGCTCTCTAATAGCAGTCCTTAATAGACTATAACAGGCACCCAAGGAGCATCGAACCAAATACACACAGCCGAAACACAAAGGTGTCAGATGCCGAACTGTAAGGTGCACACACGGTGGGAGAGGTATAGGCCTACAGGCTAAGAACACACGAGGATGGTACAGGGTACATACAAGACATGGGCAAAAACACGCGCAACAATAGGGAAATGCAACCATTAACAATAACAATACAACAAAGGCTATTTACAATTACAGACAGTGTCACAGAGTTGGGAGGTTCTGGCAGGGGGGCGGTGCATTGTGCAGGCGGGGAAAGGAGGGGACGATCCACTGGCGGCTCACTGGATGAACAGGGTTTATTAACAGAACTGAAAACACTGGGAACACTGCTAAACAAACAGACCACGAGGGGTCAAAAAGCAAAATAGGGAAAAATAAAGACTATCTACACATGGGTCAGGGTAACAAGGAGCAGGCAGGCAAAGTACAAATAACACAACACAGGGTAACTTCTAAGACTCTGAAACACCTACTGAAAAGCACATGAAATACACCTAATGAGATAACATGACAAACAACAATGACCCACTGGGGAACTGAACTAAGGTAGGAACTTAAATACAGAGGAGTAACAAGAATAACACAGGACATGTGAAAACAATTAACAAGGGCTGGGAAAACTGGCAACAGGTAAATCTAATGAAGCTAAACCATGAAACTCAAATTAGGAAACAACGTATCACAAGGGGAACAACAAAGACAGGTAAAACACGACCACGGGCACAAAGCAAAAAACCAAATACAAATCACAAAACACAGGATCTAGGGAAAAAAGATACAAATGAAACATTAGGAAACAAAATCTACAAAATACAAAAAACAGAGGAGCCAGGAGCTGAACACACAATAGAGAAGTTAGTAGCCACACACTCAGCTCACTGAGCCATGCAGCAGTCTGGGGAACAGGAGAAACACACAAAGAACTTTGACAATGGAGAGGACAGGATGGCCAGTGACACCTGCTGGCCAAATGGGGAGACATGAAAGACTCGGACAGACAGGTGCTGACCCAGACAGACAGGGGCTATTTACAGTTGCAGGCGGGGCATGCTGGGGCATGCTGGGACATGCACCCTGCCGGCGCTACAATGTTATTAAACATCTAATGACACAAATACAGGGGTTGACTTTTGAATATGTACTTCTGACTAACAATTCAATCCATGTCCTACTGATACGGTTCCATGTGTAGGATAATTTTCTGAAGTTAATCTTCAGCGAAGGACATTCTCATTTGGTGTACACTGAAACAGATGTACTCACTAAAACACATTTTTAGGCTTAATGTCGTCGCACTTATTCAGATCAGCATGTTTATATATCACCCTCCTTCTTCCATTCCACTAAACCATGTAAAATCTAATCTAATTTTCTGTAATCAATTTTACTGAAAAATCTTGAAAATATCCCAAGTAGAAAATTGCTAGTACTATGTGAATTACTTTTTAAGGCTATAAATAGAATGCACTTTGACAGAATATTTCAAAGCTATTTTCATTTGCTATGGGATGGGATGTTATTGGCGTTACACTGCAAGCATGCTAAGGCTAAGCTGCCATTTGTTTTCTAAGTAAACAGGCCACTTTGGCATAATACGGTAGCCACGTGCTATGAGGTATTAATGATCTGTGCTTTTTAATAACATCCTGTACGTGTACAATGTTACTGTGCGTTTCCTTCCGTATTGGGCCCCACTCGTGCTGTGTGGTCTGCGATACCACGGTAACCCCGTCGCCTTTAAGCTGGCTTCAGGTTTCCACAGGCCGGTTCGTGGCATTAAGTATTCAAAAGGGCATCCGCGCCGCTCCTGCTGCCGCCGCACTCTGCCTACGAGAAGTTTATACGAAGGAAACTCCAGGGTCACTGATGAACTTCCCCATATTAATGGCCAAATGGGGTGCAGGCGGTAATCATTCCTGACTCAGAAAGCAGCTCAGATGCAGTGCATCATTAATAAGACAAAGATAGCATTTTCTTTTATCTCCAGCTGTGCTTCTCGCTTCTTAACACTGTTTTCTGGTGTTCGGCTTATGTAAGGCATTCTGAAGTACTTGGTGTTTTTCACTGGAGCCCACCCACATACAGTATGCGTTAAATATGGAAGAGGCAAAAATTTCCAGTATACCTTCCACTGACATCGCACAAATATCTGAGCCATTTTTATTGATCTTTATTTGTATCTGCTATCACACTCTGAGGTATTAGAGCACGTACAGTCTTTGCTGATTATCGTCTCTACGCTGCTGGTCTTGCCTGTTTGGTGGTATGCAGTTCCTTACCCAGCCAATTAGCCCAGATATCTGTGGCAACGAAACAAAACACAAGCGATAATTCCTCTGCTTAGACGGCTTCACTGCACGAAGGACCAAAGAATCTCATAAAAACGACCACCGAGGACATCATTGCGATGCTTACGATTAACCAATCGTACAAATAAAACCGAAATAAAATACTGCACAGTGACACACATCACAATAGTAAGGAAAAGACTGCTGCAGTTATACAGGCAGAACACACCTGTGCAGTCATACAGGCAGAACACACCTGCACAGTCATACAGGCAGAACACACCTGCGCAGTCATACAGGCAGAACACACCTGCACAGTCATACAGGCAGAACACACCTGCGTTTCCCCAGACTGTGCCACACATGAACAGTCACAGCCGTGACTCATGTAAAGACAGGTATAGCTCTGTGAGAACAAATCTGCTCGGCATGATGAGCAGAACCATGTGACTTGGGGGCAGGTTGGGGTTTCCCTGTCACAATTTAAAGGGCAGGGATAGGATGCATACAGCAAGGCAGGGGGACCCGAAAAACTACAACATACTCATTACTCATTTACGTGCTGATGAACATGGAACAGGGAAGGAATCAATATAACTCTGAAAGTGGACTTTCTCTCCAGAAGCATACCCCCCCTTACCGTACTACCATCTGAGGTTTGGCATCTGCTGTTAACGGTACCAGCAACATTTAGATCCAAATTTTAATGTTTCATAACTGTATTATGTCTAGTGGGTTAATACAAACCAAATAAAATGTTCCTTGTCAGGATTCATACATGTAGATTACATTCTTACAAATAAAGGTGTAATATTAAACTATAAAAATCAGTGATTAATCCATTAAGTGTTCATCCGCAAAACAAATGATCTTCAGTGCCATAATTTCAATTTCAATAGGTGGGTTTCAGTCTCCAGTTCAGGGCAGTTGTCAGGGATGATGAAGAATCACTGCCTATAGCTGTCCTACTTAGCACCGCCTATCACAGCATCCCTCTGAACTACTGCATCCAGCCCAGAAAAATCCTCTCATCTTCCAGAACAGCACAGTGAAAAGAGAGCTAGTTAGCTGTCAGTGTAAGTAATATGAGAGGCTACGGTAATCAACCTGCTTTTACCCACAGCCACTGTGCCAAACACCATGTTACAAATCATCTGAGGAAACGCGCAGGGGTGCTGAGAGCACATATTATGGGATGGATAACTGAAGACAGGAGAAACGCATGTAAACGGAAAGGTGTTAGGGAGAAGCTTCGCGTACCAGTCATCAGCTGAAAGGCCAGCACTATTACAAGCCGGGGGCGGCGGTCTCCAGCTTCTCAGTAACCGCATGTCAGCATTACACGGCAGTTTCGACCTGCAAATTGCCTGCATTTTTGCATCAGACATTTTTAGAAACTTGTTACATTGTATCACTCCGCCAACTAACTATAATAATGAACCGCTCAATCAGTACGCATGCTGACTTATAGAACATTATTACTGGTTGAGAATGCTTAAATTGTTTGATTATACAACTATACCGTTTACTGTTTAACGTAGGCAGCAAATATAGACCTGCCCCAGCAGGAACAGCTATCACTAGCTTATAAGGGTAAAATAAACAATTAAAATGCAGTAAAAGTAGCAGTTTGTAAAACGTTTAAACAGATCTTCAGTATCAGGGAGAAATCACTCGTTAAAAGTGCATTCAGTCATTATTAAAACGCTAGCTGGAGTGGGAAAACATTAAATATTATTGATATATTAAACGCACGATACACTAGAAACTCGGCTGAGGATATTATAATACGTTTATACGTTAAATGTCCAAATATAACGTCCCAATTCAAATATGCAATATCGCTATTTCAGTTTTTAGTTCTTTTGCTGAGCGTTAATACTGAATGAAGATAACAAACCCAGCTAAGGTTAATAGATCGCATGCGTTAATCTCGTGTTGATTTGAGAAACACAGACACACTCGTTTAATCACACACAAAGTGCAAAAAACTGAATACTGTAGCATCTTCAAGTTCAGCGAATCTCTATAACTGAATATTGCGCACGACAGTATATAAACTCACCGCAGTCGGAGCCTTAAGCATTCGTAATTGTGGGCTGAACCAAGATGTACACAGGGGTGTCGCAGTCATGTGAAGTCACAATATAGGAAGAATGTTAAAGTGGACATAGAAAAAAAAAACATCGCATTTTGATTTTCTTACAATTCTCTTGCACACAAAAATGTCAGTCACAAAAAAACCCACAGAAAGGCCGTTACTTTCTGTTGGGTAGAGTATGACGCCCCTACTACATGACTATAATGCCGTGCGCCGCTAACACTGAGAGCTGGCTCGCCGCCTCTTGCGCTTATCGCCGGCCAAACGATGCTGCCTGAGCGGTGTGTGACCCCGCAGCAGCGTGATACCCGACGCACTTTCTTGTGAGAAGGTCGACAGTCTCCGCCGCAGGTAAATAGCGTGTGCGTTGTGTTTTGGCGCATTTTCATTCACCTTGCAAGCTTTGGTGCAGGATGCTTTCGGGTGCGAAGGAAAGAGCGCACATGGATGTGACAGGATGACTGGGCGGGGAAATCATTTCATTCTGATAAGAAAATGATTTAAAAACGAAATAACGATAAATACACCACCATGTTAATTAGGGTACATTTACCTCTAGTGCCAAAAATCTGTTATATTACTTAATGTCGGACGTTCGTGTTACTGATTGATTGCGCTGTAAGTTGGTCATTAATACGCACTGGGCTCCGGTTCATGTTCAGATATTGTCATCTGCGCAGTTACACTGGTACGATTTGCAGTGAAATGAAAACAGTAGGGATCTCTGCATATACACATAATGAGTATTTATTTTTGTCTTCATGTCCAATATTTCTGCATATTTACATGATGCCGTACTTATCTTATAAAGGCTCACGGTCATGTACGTTATCTCTCCATATATACATGCTGCCGTATTTTATTTATATGCGTTCTGGTTCATGTACATTGTACAGTTTATCTGCATATGTATATGATACCGTGTTTCATTTATATACGTTCCGGTTCATGTACTGTATGTCTGAACATTACTGCATGTACATGATGTCGTCTTTCTTTTATTAAGGCTCTCGTCATATGTAAATGCAGAAAATCATTCTGACATTTTTAGCATTTGTTTGAGATTTTAAAAAGTGGGGTTTGATTCGGCCCAGTCTGCGGGTTGTAAAGATAACCTGGTCTGGACTGCAGCACCGTGCGTCCGTATTGCGGACCGCCGTCGGTGGCCTTTTCAGCTCCAGTGACAGCGCGGTCGGTTGTCGCCGTCGGCCGGCCACCCGTGAGCGCCGACTCAGCGTTTGGGGCCCCACGCTTATCGGGTTGGCTTCCCTACTGAATTATTAAAGTTTCTTGGCGTAATGACTTGTGTGTGGTGAGTACGTCAGGGGTATTCCGCAATTTGTTCACTTACACATAAAGCAAATGAGTCATTTAATCTGTTTTCGGGAAACGCAAGCTTAAATCAGCTGCCTAAATGGAGCTTGGCGAATTATAATGTCATTAAACTTTGAAAGCGACTTAACTTGCAATCCGTGTGCTTTCACTGGCGAGTGACTGCAGGTTCAATAATCCATCATCTCACTATATTCCCAATTACGTGCTCAGCTCATGAAGGCTTGTAATTCTGTGCATATAATTAGGAAAAAATAACTTGTTGCATCATTTTCACTTCAAGATGACGAGTATACAAGGTACTTGTAGAGATAAGTGAAGATTTGTTTAAAATGCAAGTAATAACATCATATGTCAGAATCTGAAGGTCTGTGAGTTTGGACACCCCCCAAATACTTGAAGATAATATTTTATCATACCTGGAGTCCATTCTATACCGAATATAAGGGGGAAGCGCCTCTGAGGTCTGATGGATCAGACCTGCTGTGGTGTGTTGTAGCCAGAACCGGTCCTAGCCGATTGTGGTACCCTGGGCGAGAGCCAGCGCCGGTGCCCCCCGTCCAAGGCAAAGTGAAATTAGCTGCCAAGTCAGTGCCCCCTCCAGAAGTTGTCGCCCCAGGTAGCCACCTATGTCGCTTGTAGGATTGGCCGGCCCTGGTCGTAGGTTCCAATACCCTCTAATGCCGTACTGACTCTACCATGCATTGTAGTCTTAAACCTGTGTGACTTTTGTCAGGATAAAATTAGCTGCAGGTCCACAGACAGCATGATAGAATTTAATGTTTTTTGGACAGATAAATAGAATGAAGATTTGGACTTAGATGCCATTAATGATCTGCACCTTAATAGACTTTTCTGATGTGTAGCAGTTGGAACATAACGCTGTGTAAAGAAGTGCTTTCTCAAATTCATTTTAAAATGTTCTCCCGCTACTTTCCACTTATGGACACAAGTGCTAGTATTTAAACTAAATAAGAACACAGTTTCCTTGTGGTACTTTGCTCTTCTGGGTTTGCAAAGGGCCACGTGCATCACAGTAATGTTTCAGTGTCCTTGTCTTTTCTTTTTTACAGTTACTTTGAAAATGAAGAAATAAAAACGTCACATCTTTGCATTTCAAATTCTTCAAAGAAGAGTTTCTACTTTGTTAGCTGTGGGTGTTGGAAAGTGAACTGGAAGTTGGTTGAAACCTTTCCCCACCGAGAGACATTTCCCGTTATTGCTGCCGTTTACTTATCAAATGCCCAAAAACAGCAAGGTCGTCAAGAAAGAGCTTGACGATGATGTTACAGAGTCTGTCAGGGATCTTCTTTCCAACGAGGACACATGCGATGATTCATTCAAGAAGAGCTCACTCATCGTAAGCGATGTCCAGGAGGACAAAGACAGAGACCTGGAGGATGGCTCTGACACAGAAGAAGAGCGGCCTGCGTGGAACAGCAAGCTGCAGTATATCCTGGCCCAGGTGGGCTTCTCTGTAGGCCTGGGCAATGTGTGGAGGTTCCCTTACCTCTGTCAGAAGAATGGAGGTGGTAAGTGCATCTTTCTGAAGGTGGTTCTCGGGAGCTACAATGGTGTTAAGGTACCAGAGCAAGATATTAGTTGTATGAGGTTGAATTCGGTATACAGGACGTAGTTTTTCCTTCACTTCCTGTGGTCTGCATGCCTCAGGAAGGGAGATAGGTCTGGCTGCAGTACACTGGGCAACCTTCGCTAGGAGAACCTCCATTGCGGGGCCACAAATCACATGATCTCCACTCCTGGCCCGGACATGACATCATTAAAACTTCAGGAAGTTTAGGATATAGAATATTATTATTATTATTATTATTATTATTGTCAATAACAATAATAATAATATTGTAATAATGAGTATAATATATACATATATTATTATTTTATTATATATAATATATAATTAAATATTACTACATTATGTATAATTATAGTTTTATAATTATTGTAGCTAATACTAAATTATAATAATGTATATTACTATGATATAGAATAGGATATTAGCATTATCTCTACTAGGCTTGTATCATATTATTCTGTATAACGCAGGATATACCACCACTAGGGGGCTCGAAATCACATGACCTCCACAATAGTGCTGGATATGATGTTAGTGCCACATTGGGCACTAATTCGAATAATCCAGCCTCCTGAGTTCTCTTCAGTGGCATGAGGTCTGGGCCAGCAGTGCAGTTTCCGGCCCCATGGTGGAGATCCTTCTTGCGGAGGTCACCCAGTGATGTGCAGCCCGATCATTCTTTCTAAACCAGCTGCTGTGTAGCCCAGTACGTGCCGGTCACAGCATAGCATTTTAATACAGGCTGCATCTTCCTGCCATTTAAACTCACTTTGTGTGACATCAGCTCAATGCTGAGGCCAGTAAGATCTATAAGACGTGGATATTCTGCTTCATGCAAAATGTGCCTGGCAGTCATAATAATAAATAAAGCTGGTAGTATGACAGAAATAGCTAAAGTTAATGCTGAACAGTTTTGTCTTTACCCAGGTTGACCAAGATCTGAACTGCACTGAAAAAACCTAGAATTAGGGAGAACCAGTGCTCTTGAAGATTTTTAAATGTTTTAGTATTTGAAAGCTCTCGTTTGAATACTTTCTTTGCCAAATTGAGTGAAATGAGTGTTTGTAGAGGTTTTAATCAGAATAAATACCATGTGCAATGGATATAATTATCCCAATGAACACTGATAATGCTTTACATTAACTGCATCTTCATAATGCCTTTATAATGCATTCACAGAACATTCATAAATGGCATGTAAGTGTACCTTAAGAGCTTCTTATACATTAATAACAAACATTATAATCGTATAATCTTATGTGTTATAATCTTATGTATAATCTATAATGTATAATGTATAAATGTATAATATGTATAATCTTATGTGTTACTGCGTATTAAAGCTGTTAAAGTATGTTAGGATATACTGACATGCTGCTTATGAATGTTCTGTGAATGCATTATAAATGCCTTACAAAGGTGCACTAATTGTTCTATAAATGCATTATGAATGTGCATTGAATTTACAGCGTTACCGAATATTCATTTGACCCATTTTCACTTTTGCAGTATCACCCTCTGATCAAAACCTGCTCCAATCTCATGCATCAGTCAGCTTCAGGGTGTTTATCTGGTTGTCAGAATTTCTGTGACTCCATTCGAAGGAAAAACGTGTGTTTTGTTAGTTGGGCTAGACCCAGTTTTATCAGCTGGTTTCCTGCTGAGTAACTCATACGCAGGCCAGTGCATTCGGCTTGCAGTAGAGTCACGGGCGCTATGGAAGCTGCCATTTGTGTGAAATGCAGAGTCGCAGACAGTTGTATTCTTCATGGTCCTAATTAGCTGAGGTTTGACCCAGGCTGCAGGGAGCTGGCTTTCCTCTCTCTCACCATTTGTATGACATGTCAGTCATTTGCTGTCTCTGATTGCTGCCAAGGCATTATCGCTCAGTCATGTAACTGTGCACCTCCACTAAAGAATGCGATCGTTCTTACAACACCAACTGACTTGTATTTGGGGCAAAACTGACATTCATATAAAAACTTAATTCCCTCGATATCCCTCTGCTATAAATGCAGTGTAATGTGCATTCCTCTTCAGGTTTAGAGATAAGGATGTTCTTCCTCTCTTATACTCTACAGTTATAGCTTAATAGTAACACAGTGTGATTTGTACCATGATCCGATGCCAGTTCACCTTCCCTTTTTCTGGAAGTGATCGCAGCTTCCTGCAGGTTGGAGCTGATGCCTTTTGGAATGTATAACAAGCAAGAGGAGACAGATTAGCATTAGCATCTGGCCATGCGCAGCCTTCGGCGTGTTTGGAGTGATGTCCTTACATTAAGGGCCATCTTGGGTCACTGGGCTTCTTACAGGAGCCCTGTCACCTTGGTCGGTGTTCTAGTGTCCCGGTTTCATTCTGTGTATAACTAAAGATGTCTGCTGCATTCTTTAGCCATTTGTTTCCAAACCCTTATCTGAAGGTAATATATCTGTCAAAAGTAGCTGCAAACTAGGTTTTTGTGTAAATACATTAAAATAAAAAAAACCACAACATGCAGTGTAGAAAAGCAATTGTTGAAGAAACAGATTAAAAATAGCCTCATTACCTTTCACAACATCATTGGTATTTCCCAGAAGGCATGACATGAGGTGACAATGGGAGATTGGGTGATAATGACAGACACCTCGCCGGCCTTGACTCTTCATGAGATGGCCTGTGGAGGGAGCTCCTTCATTAGGCGGTGCCACCCCCTTACCTTGATTTACCGCCCACTTCAGCCCTGACGAGTCCTGATAATTATCGTTGCTTGCAGATGTGCTCAAATTTTTGACTGGCTCTGTGTGTCATTTCTGGGGTCTCCCTGGTGTCTTTGTGACAGTTGTCATTCACACTGTGCTTGCATTTCACTATTCGTTGCCTCCCTGTTGTGGGAAAAGCTTTGTGATGACAACTGTGAACTTTGTGGATCTTTTGTGTCCGTTTATCTTTCCTCTGGAAGCTTTGAAAGATGGACATCATTAAATTCTACTCCTTTCAGTTATCAAAACTCTCTATTTTAAATGATAAAATACCTTGAGCTTTGAGACATTCTTTGGTATTTCAGAATGCAGTAAGCAAGTAAATATGCATTCTTTTTGTGAAAGAAGGACAGTTGTGTTCCTTCTTCAGATACGACCCCATTACCTGCTTTGTAGTTCTGTTTTTTTTTTCCAGAGATACACTCTTCCTTCAAGAATTGTGCCATGAGGTGACTTTCTCCTTTTTCCTGTCTGATTTCATGGTGATTAGATATTTATGCTCACTGTTACTCACCAGCCAGTGTTGTGGAAATAGTGGTCAGCTTAAAATTTCACAGAGTAAAAGATGGATCCCCGGAGACCTATTATGCTGTAAGTATGACCTGACCTTGGCAGTTCTTATACAAAATGTGCAGGAAACGTGCCACAGTATAGTCAGCTAGCTTAACCACGCAGCGCGTTCAGCAACTTGGATAAACATGGCTCATTTGCCAGGGATCTGAGAGTAAACCCATCCATCCATCCAACCATCCATCCATCCTCTGCCACTCATCTAGGCCTGGGTGGGGGGGGAGCAGCAGTCTAAGCAGGGATGCCCATACCTCCCTGTCCCCAGCCACCTCCTCCTGCTCCTCCAGGGCCTCTTGGGTCAGCCCCCCAGGTCTCCTTCCAGTTAGATATGCACCTCCTCAGGGAGGTGTCCAGGAGGCATCCTAGACAGATGCCCAGACCACCTCAGCTGTGTAATGAGATCATTCTGAAGGATTTTCTCTTTGTGCATCAGCCAAAAGCTTATTGCATTACATCATCTTTCATGTACTGGGCTAATACTGTGCAGATACTGTGTGGATACGGTATAGATACTGTGCTTATATTGTGTAATACGGCGTTGAGTGTCTTTGGGAAAGCAGGCAGTAGTATGCTTTAACGTCGAGGGTCTCTTTTGTGGCTTGGCCCTCCTGCTTGCTCCACACATGCGTTATCGCCGGCAGATTTAACAAGGGAACCCTGAACGTACATCGGCCGTCCTGCAGTGCTTACATTAAGCAGGGGTCTCCCAGGGGCTGGCTGGTGTCCCTGCTGTCCTGTGTCGGAAACCCCTAGAGGAATTAAGACTGCAGAGGTAAAGAGCGTGTTTCATGATGAGACAGGGATGTGGAGAGGAACGCACACGCTCACATAGAAGGGTTTGTGTGTTATAGGAGTGATTCCTGTTTTACACATTTTTTTGAACGTGTTTCCTGGTGAATGACAGTGGCGTTCAGGGCTGCATATCACCACCACCTCATACTGTACCTGTGTGCAGGGAGTTCACATGGAGTTCAGGACGTTCAGGTCACTGCACAGCATGCCGGGGTCATTATTTAAAGGCACAGTCAGCAAAATGGAAGGAGCTTTGCAATGAGGGCATACTCTTTGTGTGTGTGTGTGTGTGTGTGTGTGTGTGTGTGTGTGTGTGTGTGTGTGTG